GCACCCTCTGGTAAAGGGTGGTGGCCGCCTACAGCAGCCAGTTTGGAGTAAACGACGAAACTTTTGAAAAATGCACACCTTTAGGGTTTAAAACCCAAAGGTGTGCATTTTTCAAAAGTTTCATCATTTATGGTCACCCTCACAGAGGGAGAAGAAACGTGTTCAACAGAGAAAGGTGCGAGCCTGTTGCCGAGGAGATACTGCAAATTATAAAACAATAAGCTTATTAGAAACTGTAATGTTTTATATACTTAAACGCATATTTCAATTAAAAATACATAAAAAGCCAGTGAAATTGGTCCTTTAGCATTATTTATTCCCACGAGGGAAAAGAGAAAAGGCTCGAGAGAAGCAGCAGACCCGGGTTTCTGCCTCAGATCCCAGGAGGGTGACCTGGGGGGACGGGGGGCCCAGGCATGACGCATCTTGGAGGTCTGCGTGCCAGGCAGGGCAACTGGCTGGTTTGCCTAAGAGTCCTGGGCCGGCATGAGAAGGCAGCTCTTGGTGCCAGTCAAGGAGAATTCTTGGTAGCCACGACAGCCACGATGTTCTGAAGCCGCGTCGGACTACGAGGGTGAGCATAAAAGCACGCTGCCCTGGGGGTCAAGGGGAGCAATGAAGAGGTCCAAGAGGCAGGCAGGGTGGGGCGCCTGCAAGAGCCCCCATCTTTGTCCACTTTGCAGGTCAATTTGCCACACATCTCCCTGAGAACGCACAAGCGACAACGCATGCGGGGAAGCACTGAGGAGGGAGACGTGGCCCCAAGGCCAGGAGCAGCCGGCATCAGCCTGCGCAGCGGTGCTCCCTGTCCTCCTCAGGCAGTCGGCAGCAGCCCTGCAAACTGGACCGTTCCTCTGTGCAGCTGCTGGGGATGCTCGCCAAATCTCCTTCAGAATACGATGGATCCTTGAGCCAAAGGCTGGGGATGGTCCGTGCACGTGTGCGAACCACCCCTACGCGCACTAACCAACCCTAACCCTTCTGGCTGACCCTCTCCTGTCCCGTGCTGGAGTCCAGGCAAAGCAGAAGAACGGAGGCTGCCGGGGTGGCAGGGAACAGGGCAAGTCGCCTGCCTGCCCAGAGCAGATGGGCTGGTCAGCCGTGGGCTACCCGTGGGGTTCTGCCGAGGCCGAGTCTGCAAGGCATCGTGGGGCGCCTCCTTCCCACAGGGCCAAACCGACCAGAGCGGATGGGCACCGACGCAGCAAAGCAGGGTGAACCCCGTGAGCCTTCAGGGGTTATGAGCTCAGAAAACTGGCATGCAGCCCCCTCCCTCAAGGGTGGGAGGGGGGCTTAGAAAGGGACAACTAAAAGGGCAACATTACAAGAGCCAGAGGCTTGGGTGAATCAGGACAATGCCCAGGTGAGGGTGGGCTGGCCAGGCGGGAGCGAGCAGAGGCCGTTCAAAGCCCGGCTGGTTCCTTAGCATGAAGATGGCTCCCAACCGTCTCTGGGCCTGCAAAACCGCCACCCAGCACAAAAACAGGCAGAAAAACCCTAACAGAGGGCACAAAAGTCACCTCCATGTTCCACCCAGGGAATGACACCTGTCCACAGGAGAGGGACCAATGGTCCATTTCCCCCCCACCCCAAACACACACACACACACCCCATCAAGAGGAGGCCCAGCTGCCTGCCCAAGGCAAAACTCCTGAGCACGTGGCTTGGGCGGGGCAAAGATATGTTGGGGATTTATCAGGGACACGGCAGGTACCAACAGGTGCCCAGTCCAGGTGGAAGCCTTGAAAGAGACAGGTGATCAGGTAAGGCAAGT